ACCGAGTGTTACCATGGTATTCCTTGAAATGCAAGCTTGTCTCAACAACTGTTTATAAGTAATGTTGGCAAGCAATGGATCATCTTTCAAGGAAATTAGCATTAGTGAGACCTGTTTCTTAAACATGCGAATGGCTGCTTCAGCTCGATTTGGCCATGGTGTTCCTGGTCCTAGAGAGATTGGCCTGATGCTGTGCCGGTTGTAATAACTCTCCATCTCAGTGCCCATAAAAGCTTGATCGGCAACAATGTATTTTGGATTTAGCTGATAAGTTTCAAAGTATTCTTGAAGATGAGAAATCGTCACCGGATCAGATCTGTTTTGAACTACAAAAGCAGTAGCCAGAGAGGTTGCACCGTCATACATAAGTAGGAATTGAAGTTTTGACTGTTGATTGATCGGAACTTCTCCATGATCAATGAAGGTAAGTTCACCAAAGACTTCACTTCGGATTCCTGAAACCTTAGCTCTCGATGGTGCAATCCTGGCAGTGGAACATGTGTCACATGATTTTGTAATCTGATCAAATTTGTCATAGATTTCTTTTGGTAACTTCAGAGCCGATGTTCTTCTCTTGAATTGTTCAGTGGTCATGTGATAATGCTTCAAATGCAACTTGAGAAGTTCAGTGGGTGATTGAAGCTTATCATGAATTCTCTGAAGTGCTAGTGACAAAGTTCCCTTAGGTGACGGTTCCTTTTTCTCTTCAAGTTTTACTTCAACCTTGGTTCCGGTTTGACTTCAGTTTCTTCTTCAATCTGAGGTTCCCGACGTCTTGGGATACCGTCCTTCGAACCGGAACTTGGCCCAGAGGCCACCATTGGCTCTTCATCGGGATCAAAAGGTTGAGCTGGTACTTCTAACTTACTATCAGGCTGAATTGTTTTCTTGACAATCTTCTTGGAATCAGGCTTGGCCGATTTCGGCACCTCTGCAGGCTTAGGCTCTGATCCTTTAAATCTCTTGCAACCTTCTTTGTTGGTGTGTGGACGATGTTTACCATTGCATGCTGGGCATGTGATGTCTTCGGACTGGAAGCTGTACATCGGTTTCCAACTGGAAGTAGCAAGAGCCATAATGTCAAGGACTGGATGGTTGGATGTACTGACCGCCAAGGCGGTGCGCTGCATTCCAAATAGTGGACAAGTCATGAACTCACCTACAGGAGTGTGCTCAATGTTCATGCGAAGATTCCTCATTTGTTCAACCGAAAAGAGAATAGGAACCTTACCTTTGTCCAGGATGTCAACGCATGTTGTAATCCAACCAGTTTGTGCACGATCATTGCGAAAATGAATCACTAATCTTTCCTTGACAGTAGATTGTTCTCCATTGGCAAATGAAAACTTACTTGAACACGGTTGCTTAGAAAACCAGATGTGATCACGCTTGGGATGTTGTTGGCAAGCCTGTACAAGGCGATCAATGGCAAAGCGGGATCCCATGGCTCGAGTGCAACCTGAGTCAAGAATGACATAAGTCGGATGAGAACCTAGATCTACATATTCACAAAGCAATGCTTGTTGGGCACCATGATCATAATTGAGGAATACACACTCTTCCGTTGAGACGGAATCGAGCGGGCTTGTGCGCGGCTGAAACGAATGCAGATCACCGTTTCCGGTAGAAACACTCTTCTCAACTTGGCGGATGCTCTTCAATAGATACCTGTTCAAATCAGTAAAGCACTGGTACATCACAGACACGAACAGAAGCACGAATGTGAGGGCCTCTACAAGTTCGTGTCCGAGCAATCGGAACAAGCGGATGCCTGAAAAACAGAACCGGTTGATCTTGTCGGTCTGTCCGTCCTCGAAAATGATGTCTGAATGCTTGTCCTCGGATTCGGTCAGTTCCTCAGCGGAAGCAAAATACGACCAATTGTACCAATCACCTTGGGAGTAATCTCCGTCATATCCATAGTAGGATTCATAACCTGACCAGTCGTCTGTCCAGTATGTGTCATAGTCATAACTCCAGCTTTCTTCGGCATGGGCTGTTTCTTGTTTTTCAGGGGCTTGTGATGCACTGGATGATGCAGCCTGTGCTACATTAGCTTGTGGAGGTTGTGACAAAAATGGATTGTTTCCTCCTTTGTTCTTCGCATCACCTTTTCCTTTTCCTTTCCATGAAGGCATTCCTTTGAAAGAATCCTTTCCTTTCATCATTCCTTTCTTGCCCTTTTTACCTTTTCCTTTGCCCTTGCCTTTTCCCCAGAAAGCTGTGTCTTGCTGGTCATCTTCCCATGCTGCAAAACCTTTGCCTTTTGACCTCGAACGGAAGCCGGGTCTTGATTTCTTTCCTCCTTTCTTGCCATAACCTTTTGGTCTACCTTTCTTGAAGGACCTGCCGTAGATGCGGCGCTTAGAGTATGAACCCTTGGCGCTGAGAACCCAGAACTCGTTCTCGGTGTACAGACCTGTGAAACCTTCTTCACCCGTCTCTTCATCGAAAACCCAAAATCCGTACTCACCTTCTTCGGTCTCGCCCTCGTCGATGACGTAGAAGTTGGACCGCTTGCGGTGCGTGATATTTGGGTCTGCAACACCTGTGCGGGAAACGGCAAAAAGTTCCAAGAACAGCTGTTTCACTTGGAGATAGGTGTATTGAGGCATTGCGATCTGACGGATGTTCATGGACGAGACAAAACGCTCGCGTTGTTGCTCGTTGAGGTCTGCTTGCACTAGAAAAATCAGTGACATCAAATTGTCTGACAATGGAAACTGCTGTGCATGTCTGGTCCTTCTGTTGGTTATGGTCTGTTCTCTCAATTCTTGTTGAAAAGCTAGCTTATCTTCATCTGTTACTATTGCATTGTATTGCAGTCTTTGCTCATCTGTGAGTGCTGCTGTAAATGCCTGAGTGCCTGCCTCGGGAAGATCGGATATGTCCAGCAGATCGGACCAAGAAGCCAACAAACGCTTCTGCGCGATCTCAAATCGCCCTATCCAGTGCACGAATTCGCTCTGGCCTCGATATGTGCAAAACATCTGGAGGAATCGCCAAAGGAACACATGATTTACTCCCTTCACGAAGTATGGTCTCAATGTGTCCTTGAAATGAGCGAGGCCACGATCCGGATCTCGGAGTAAGGCATTATCGAGCATCGACTTATAAAAAGAAGCGGAACCAATGAGGGCATTCTTTAATGATGGTCCGTGTTTATCTGCATCCAATGTTGTGATCCCTAACCAGTCATCAATTAAATCTTCATATTCAAACCAGCTTGATTGGCCATCAAATTGGGGTGGAACCTTTGGTGTCATTTTGATGCCCATCCGGTTTTCGGAATGACTGGTGGCGGCATATGCTTCAGGCTCTTCATAAGAGACAATCTGGAGTTGTTCTTCATCTGAATCCATGTTGTGGATTAAGACCATGGCAGCTACTCTAACTTGACCTACAGGTTGCCTCCGCAAGTCCGATATACGGAATGTATGCAGAGAACGGCAGTTCGGCACACAGATCTAGACTTGGCGAAGGCACAGGCTCCGCTACCACTTTGAGGTAGCTATCCCTCTATTAGGGGAGCCCTGGATTACTATTTACAACACCTGTGTCAAGCAGTGAGCGGCGGACACTTTTCTATGCGGCGGAATTGCTGCTAGTCTTGAGCCATGCGGAGTACGCATGAAAGATATGAATTAAGTGTACATGTCAACATGCATGAATGCATTGTGTAGACACGTAAAACAAAATAAATCACAGGGGGGGGTACTAAAATGACTAGCAATCTCCTGAAGAATCAGGTAACGGGGCTGGCCGCCCTCCCCTTTACTTCGTAAAGTAAAACTCAAGGTAGCCCCTCTGGAGCTACCTTTCGTGACATATACATTACATGCGAGTAATATACATTTCCTTCTTTGGTTGGATAACATCAATCCCATTCACAGCCGCTCCTTCGCTGGTCGTAGCTCCTCATCATCGAGGACATACTCCCCGAGCCAGTTCCAAAGCCTGGCGTCGAGCCGTGCGTTTCAACAAGAATTCATGAAGAAACAATTCCAGTGATTCCAGTGAAGAGTTTTACAAAAAAAAAGAGTTTTCATTGTTTAAATGTAAATGAAGAGTTTTTTTGGTTTGTTGAAAAAAATATTGGGCTCCTTTAAGATTGATAAATGTTGGTGAAACTGGGGCTGATGGCCTAGGTGTGTTTTCGGTTTAAAGAGTGTACCTCATTTCTTGAAACAGTTGTTTCATGTTGTTTCTTGCATGGCTCACGAAACTTGGGGATACTATGGGATACTATATAGCAGGGATACTATATTATAGAGTGGGTTTTCACCATTCCTTTTTGAACTGGTTCTTCAATTTCAATAAAGGCCACACGCACCAGAGTTTCACAGGATGGGATGTGATGGGCCACAAGTTGACCTTCCTTGTCCAAGCAGTTCGGCATCATTTTCGCACATCCGACGGTTCGGCATATGTCCAAGCGAACTCCGTAAACGGCTGGGTGGAAATCCTATGACAGGTTGAGACGACTTCAGATTCGTGGTGTGATTGTTGCACTGGTGCAGGATTTCCTCCACATCGTGATTTCAAGACTGCGCTTGTGTCAGTACTTCATGAAGATTTGTCATTGTTGCCCAATCATTAGGGTATGCTTTTTTGCAAAGAGTCCGATTGCCACTGCCACCAAATATATAAAATGTCAACTCCTTGAATTACATTAAGGTTCCATAAGCGGTTACTGCGCCACTTGACACAGAGCTCGCTCCCACCAAGGTTCAACCTTCCATGCCGCTACCCCTTGACACTGCCGGCAGCTTCCTTCAGCTGAGATCTCTTGGGTATTGCACTGACAGGAGGGATGGCTCAAGCACTTGGTGAAAGAACAGCGGATTCGGTCATATTACTTGTTTTCCTTTCGTAAATGTTGCCATCCAATTGTGGGGTAGATAGTTGCTGTTCTTTAGAGCGATATCCGTGTCAATATTGTCTCGAATAGTCGACCAACAATTGGGCATGCAGTATGCTATGTTTCATGAAGCTTTCTACGAACACTTGGTTGAGACCTAGCCCATGCAACACCCTCTTCCAGTCTCTCAGCGTCACTCGTGCTGCAGGTGGCGTTTCATACCACTTTTTGGGGTAGCAGCTTGGGACACTGTTTGTAGGCGAGCGATGGAGCAATCGAATGAGGTGAGGAGGCATCAAAGACTAACTTTTCGACAAAGGGAATTTCAGAGCAAACAAAGCACCAAGTATTGAGCTAGGCAGATTTTGTACACTCGTGAATTGCTGATGGTGAAACAGCACTTTACGACTTTGGCATCTCAGGCGTTGCAAGCCGCCACTTTATGCCCCTGTCCCAGGATGCCGCAGCCCCAGGTCGCCCTAGGTCTAGGTGAATTTGGGGTTTCCTTGCCAGGAATCCAAAAGTCCCATGATTGAACTACGGAACATGGTGGCCATGATCATCACATTTCCAACAATCTGCCCGCCGCGGCATGGCAGGTTCAGGCGATAGAAGGTCTCGCGACTCATCAGTCGCCCCGGCGGTCCGCAGGCGGCCGGATTGTACTGGGCGTCGTAGACCACGTGCCGCAAGGGATCCATCATGATCAGCACAGTGGCACAAACAATCCAAGCCGCCCAACGGAAATTCCTCTTGTTCAACTCATTCGTGACATAGCAAGAGAGAACCGTCAGCAGCAAAGCTAATTGCAGCTGATGACTCAGGAAGACCACGTCGTTACTAAAAGCCATTCCCAGAACGACACTCAGCATGGTGGGCAAACATCAGAATCCCACCATCATGGGCGCACTCACACAGACTGCCAAGGCAGAAGTCAACCTTTCGGCCAAGCCGGCTGGCGCTTTAGACACCACACTGGATGACTCCAGCAAGGGCTGCTCACTGCATTGGCTGCACTGACGCTCACAGTGCGACATGGACATCACAAATGGAATCAACGACAAGTCTGAGACAGTCTTGAGCACGAGATGCTATTCTAATGTTTCGCACGGCTCAAAACAAATTGTCTGTCTATGTCATTTGATATGATTCTCACTGCCATGGTGACTCCTACCCAAGTGTTGCACAACATCTATGACACCAAGGTTTCTAGGAAAGAGAAGCTCCTGCTTGCACCGCGAAGCAACACAGGCTCGGCACCATCCCAATCTACGTGTTTCATGATGTTTCGGTTGCATGTGGGGTTGCTGCTATCTCATGATCACAATCTTCGCTGGCGAGACGAGTCAGGAGCCAGTCCAAATCGCACAAAGAGAAAACCTCAACGGCGCCACGGCCCAGGCTTTGAACGGCGGATTCATTAAACAGCCAGTGCTGATCTGAATAAGTCTATGGAGGCAATGTCAAAGGCAAACTATGACTTCACTGCTGGCACTGCTGCCGCATCCTGCCACGTCCTGCCCCATCCCGGCACCTACGCATCGGATGTATGCATTGTCCGGGTGGTCCATCAACCTGGCATGAAAGGAGCTTCTGACACCCCATCTATCCAGGTTCCTAATTGGAAGGGAAAAAAAAAACACAAAAATAGATTCAACATCCATTCGGGTGGCTTTCTGTGTCCCTTCCCTCTTAGGGCTGAAAAATCATCCTGTGATCCGCCGGCCTTCTAAGTTGTCGACCTGGCAAGTGATAAACTTCTGGACAAATGTGGCTGTTGATTCTAGAATGAGGTGCAAAATTGGAGTGAACACCTCGAGAATATGTATCAAAATGGATGATTCATTATGAAAATGGCCAAAATCTGTGGTTCTCTGCACTCCGGGCCTCCAAGTTCAAGCCATATGGCATTATTGTCACTGGTGTTATCCGTTGAGAGTAGATCAAAACAGGCATCAATCTTTTGGCAAACCAACATGTTCGCTTCCATGGCAAGAGTCGGTCAACAGTTTGAGCAACGAAACCCTTAGAGCTGTCCCAGCGTTCTTCCAAGTTGCTATCGATTCCCATGGTGAAGAGCCGGTAGAGACAGCAAAACAATGCCGATGGCGTGGTATTGCTATTTGGCATGTACCTCGTGGGAAATCCGTTCCATCCAAAGGTCCCTCTCCTAGTCGGCCTCCATATGCACCTATAGGAAATCTTGCGATCCATTGACTTTCTCAACCCTCTTCGAGAGGTGACAACAATCCAAAGCATTCGCTGATTTTGATCGTTTAGTATCCTCTGTGTCTGAAAATAGTTTGTCCCTCCAAATCCATTTGCTTGTCATTGTTCTCCCTGTTGAAATGGCCATTTTTTGCCAATTTCCCCATTGATCTCGGCTGCGCACGGCTCAATGTTATCTGCAAACCTGGCCACATTGGGTCGACGGCGAGTCAAGTCCCCCATTCCTGGAGTTGTCCCAAGCAAAAATCAGCATAGAAATGTTTCACTGGTCTCCAACTTAAATTAAATTTATCCTGCAATATCGTGTTTATCCATACTATGTTGTATGTATACATTGTATGTATACAATGTATACAATGTATGTATGTATGTATGTATGTATGTAGGTATGTAGGTATGTAGGTATGTAGGTATGTAGGTATGTAGGTATGTAGGTATGTAGGTATGTAGGTATGTAGGTCTGTCTGTCTGTCTGTCTGTCTGTATGTATGTATGTATGGATGGATGGATGTATGGATGTATGCATGCATGCATGTATGTATAACTGTAATATTCATATACTATAATATACTATGATATACTATAATATACTATAATATACTATAATATACTATAATATACTATAATATACTATAATATACTATAATATACTATAATATACTATAATATACTATAATATACTATAATATACTATAATATACTATAATACACTATAATATACTATAATATACTATAATATACTGGTACTACAATATACTATAATATACTATAAAATACTATAATATACTATAGTATACTATAATATACTATAGTATACTATAATATACTATAGTATACTATAATGTACTATAATATACTATTATATACTATAATATACTATAATATACCAGAATATACTAAAATATACTAAAATATACTAAAATATACTATAATATACTATCATATACTATAATATACTATAGTATACTATAATATACTATAGTATACTATAATGTACTATAATATACTATAATATACTATAATATACTATAATATACTATAATATACAATAATATACTATAGTATACTATAATATACTATAATATAATATCATTTACTATAATATACTATAATATACTATCATATACTATCATATACTATAATATACTATCATATACTATCATATACTATCATATACTATCATATACTATCATATACTATAATATACTATCATATACTATCATATACTATCATATACTATCATATACTATCATATACTATAATACACTATAATATACTATAATATACTATAATAAACGATAATGTACTATAATATACTATAATTTACTATAATATACTATAATATACTATGATATACTATAATATACTATAATAAACGATAATGTACTATAATATACTATAATATACTATAATATACTTTAATATACCATAATATACTATAATATACTACAATATACTATAATGTACTATAATAATCTATAATATACTATAATATACGTACTATAATCAACTATGATACATACATGTACTGCATGTGTAACTGTCACAACTGGGCAAACTCATTGATGCAAATTGGCGCCGAGCAGCTGATTCATCTCCTCGATCATCTGCTCGAAGGATTCCAAGGACAGAAGGGCCTAACCGTCCATGGGGAAGTCGTTTAGGAAGAAATTGTGAGTGTCCCAAAACTGATTTCACATTGGTTTAACTATGTATAAGTGAAAATCTAGACCAAACCATGGTCTTCACCCACCAAAATATAGAGGCGTCCAAGCAGATGTTCTTTTCAACAAATTCTGGGAGGCTTACTACAGTTTTAAGTTTTAACCATCGAAATTGAGATTCGAACCAACTAGAACCAACCAAAAAAACGGATTGGGTTCTACCACCTTGAAATGGGGGAATCACTGGGATGATTGTGGTATTTACCCTGTATGAATTTTCAGGGTAAACCCTGAAATTTGTTCCCTTTCAACCAATTCCAGGACCATGGCACTGATGTCATAGTGTCCTTTCAGCAGAGAAATTAATGGTCTCACAACGCCATGTTCGGCCATCCACCATTGGACATGACAGGAAGAGCTTGTCCCCAAGCAGAACTTGCTGGACCCATGAGCTTGAGACCTTGAAGTGAGCAGACTCCACTACCTCCAGATGTGGTGCTGTTGGGGTCCAAGCAAATCTGTTCCGTGCTGTTAGATTCTGTTAGATGTCAAGTATGTCAACGTTTCAACAGACTCCGAAGATTCCGAGACGTCAGATCTCGTCAGGTGGCAGCCACAAGCCTTACGGAGCAACTCTGGCTCCCTCCAAACTGAGCTTCCAAGCATGCGTCTGCAGCAGTGGACTGAAGCCATAAGTCTTGGTGTTCGCGATCTCCAGTGCTCCACGGGGAGCATTGCCTAGGTCCCAGTCAGGTCACATTTCAACAGCTGAAACTGAAATATCAGTAGCAACTAGCAGCAACAGGCACTTGGGACTCCAGCTGAAATCGAATCTCTTTTCTTTGCCCTCGTTTTTGGCAGATGCTGCCTTCTTCTCATCGCGTTCCGTCACATGATCCTGAAGCTATGCATCATTATGTATCCATCATTATCTATTAATGTTCGGCCTCTGAACAAAAAATGCGAAGCCGTTGGTCAGTTTCCATCCGGTAGAGCGATGATGCGCATGTTGCTGGAGATACAAGAGCCTCAACTCCATTTTTCATGCAGGCAGCTCTCACTGAAAGAAACGCTCCACAATCCAACTGACGGGACCTACGTTCCAGAGCCACAAGCGGGAAACAATTCTATAACATCAGATGTTTGGCGTTTTGGGGTCCTGGTGTCGTTTGCAGAATTTGCACTTCGAATTGGGCTTCTTGTGCAAGTGACACCTGAAGCCAGAGTGCTGATTGAGGGCTGCCCCAAGAGAATTTAGCTGTAGGGGCTGCAAGAGTATGTTGCTCTCTTCAAGGCAGATTGAATATTTCAGAAGGAAAAAGGATTAACCTCACCTCTTCCAGCCTGCTAAGAGCTCAGAGCTGTCTAAATAATTTCAGCTTGACTGCAACACCAAAGGATTTTGTTGGGAGATCGTGGAAGTCAGCTGGTAGCCAAGCAGCCAAAACAAAACACCAGGACATTCTGGATCCACTTTTTGGCTAACCCCGAAAACTCACCTATTTAACCCTAAAACGACTGGAGGTTACAAAGAAATTGGAATTCCAACCGATCTTGCTAGAAAATCACTATCATCACCATTCCTTTTCCCAGGAAACAACACCTGACTTTTCCAATATTTTCATCCAGCTGGAAGCCAATCACCAGAATTCACCCGACTTCTCTTCGGCCTGAGCTTCTCTTCTGCCTCGCGCTCGGCCTGAGCCTCCTTCAACTTCTCCTAGAGAACATGCTGGGAAAATGGTGAGATAAACCATTGGATTTTTTGGATTTTGAGATGCTGAAAAATTGAGGAAAAGGTTTCTCTTGAAGGTGTGAAGGGACCTCGATTTCTCTTGAAGAAAAACACATCTTCAATGCATCATTCATCAGAATAATAAACAAACATAATTGTAGGTTTTCCCTGAAATCCCAGGAACTTAACCTCCAAAAAATGTCAGCCAGTACTTGGGGGTGCAGTTCCAGCTATAAGTTGATGCACAATAGATCCCAATTTATGGGGGTGATCACCATGGTAACTATACAAATCACCCCAACTGGAGATGGTTGGATCCTATCATTCTCCCAACCTGCCCCAGAATTATCTTATGATCGTCCCATCATAAACCCCAATGATACCCATATGGATACCTAGTTTACAAGATGGGAAGTACCTATATCCTTGTCCTATTAACCCAGAGATTCCTACGTGCAAATCATCCCAATCCTGCGCCTTCCCGGGTACTGAAGGACCATCTGCACCCTGCCCAGGGAAACCCCCGGCCTCACGACGCTGCTTGGCCTGCGCAATGGCCTGCTCCCTTTGTTGCTGCTGCTGTTGCTGCTGCAGCCTGGACGGTGAGTTTACGAGGAACATGAGTCATGCTGCAGCAAAATGATGTGGTCACCCAAATAATCAGAAAAATAATTTTGAAGAATGGGGATTGACCCAGACACAACCTGTAAGCTGGTTGGTGGTTGAGCCACCCAATCGCCACCGGAAAATATGTAAGGGATTGAGCATCATAGTCACGATGGCAATAGTAATGATTGTGATATACTAATTGCAACAACAACAACAACAACAACAACAACAACCACAACCACAACCACAACCACAATCATCATCATCATCTTCTTCTTCTTCATCATCTTCAACATCATATTCATCATCATCATCATCATCATCGTCATTGTCATCGACATCGTCACCGTCATCATCATCATCATCGTCGTCATCATCATCATCATCATCGTCGTCGTCATTATCGTCAACATCATCATCCTCGTCATCGTCAACATCATCATCATCATCATCCTCTTCTTCATCATCATCCTCTTCTTCAACATTATCATCAGCGTCATCATCATCATCTTCTTCTTCTTCATCATCATCAACATCATCGTCATCATCATCATCATCATCACCATCCTCTTTTTCAACATGATCACAATGATCATCATCATCATCATCATCATCCTCGTCATCATCATCTTCATCATCATATTCAGCATCATCATCATCATCATCCTCATCATCAACAGCAACAACATCAACATCAACATCGTCATCCTCGTCATCGTCAACGTCATAGTCATCACCATCATCATCACCATCATCATCATCATCCTCATCATCATCTTCATCATCATATTCATCATCATATTCATCATCATAGTCATCGTCATTGTCATCGACATCGTCATCATCACCATCATCATCATCATCATCATCGTCATTGTCGTCATCACCATCGTCATCATCATCTCCATCATCATACTATTCATCATCATCATCAACAACATCATCGTCATCGTCATCGTCATCATCATCATCATCATCACCATCCTCTTCTTCAACATTATCACCATGATCATCATCATCATCATCCTCATCATCATCATCATAATCATCATCATCATCATAATCATCCTCATCCTCATCATCATCATCAACAGCAACAACATCAACATCAACATCGTCATCCTCGTCATCGTCATAGTCATCACCATCATCATCACCATCATCATCATCATCATCATCATCCTCATCATCATCTTCATCATCATATTCATCATCATATTCATCATCATAGTCATCGTCATTGTCATCGACATCGTCATCATCATCATCATCGTCATTGTCGTCATCACCATCGTCATCATCATCTCCATCATCATAGTGTTCATCATCATCATCATCATCAACAACATCATCGTCATCGTCATCATCATCATCATCACCATCCTCTTCTTCAACATTATCACCATGATCATCATCATCATCATCATAATCATCATCATCATCATAATCATCATCATCATCATCATAATCATCCTCATCATCATCATCATCATCATCGTCATCGTCATCATCATCCTCATCATCATCATCATCATCATCATCCAATAACCACCCAGAGAAGTCCATCTTGTCGAAGCGGCCTTGCTTGCTCTGCAGCAGCCGCGGCTTGCGCCTGGGAGCTGATTGGATTTCTCCAAGGGACAATCTATAGGAAACCTCTACATTTCATGGTAAAAACTGTGTAAAACCAATGGTTTCCGGTGGAATGTTTCCTTTGACCAATCCATTGATTGCTGGATGTTCCCATAATTTTCGGGGGGTGTCCCATGGTCATGTTGATTTGTCGATGATGTTATCGTTAAAACTTCTTTGATCTTCCACATCTTTCCATGGAAACTCAAGCAGTTGAATGTTTAACCTCTGTCCTACTAATAGCAAACAGCTGAGTTGGCCTAAACAAATAGCCACTGGCCACTGGTCTTTCAGAAAATCAGGTGCGACAACGACAATCTCTGAAAACAAACGAAGCCTATATACACACAGTACTGAAGAAATCTGAAGAACAATTATTTGGTTTCATACATTTTCATACCCTTCTCAAGTCAATGGAGCAAAAATCAATGAAGGTAGCTCTTCGGCCATCGGTCGCCCCACCTGGACAACCGCCCGCTGTTGTGCTTCAGCAACAGCTTGGGCCTGTTCCTGGGAAACAAAACGGAGGATACGCCAAACTCCCCAAACCCACTGCTGTCCCCGAGGAATCGAAGTCCCCATCTCAGGAATCAACTCCCCCCCTGTCGGATCCCCCTGAAAGTCCTGGGCAAATCGAGCAGCCGCTTCTGCTGCCTGAACTTGTGCCTTGGGACAGGTCCTATCACACCAGAGCTTTGCATGAAACCCCTGCGAAAAACAAAACTAGTTGGTGGTTCCAACTCCAACTCATCCCAATATCAGGAGTCACCTGGGTTTCCAGGGTTCAACACATCGACTTTTGAAGCGAATGGGTAATGGGCCAGTAATGGGTACACTGGGCTGCCAAGCCTGTGCATGTGCCTTAGCAGGTGCTGAATCCCCCAAACGCTTCACAACTGACCAAAAACTCCAGGCTGTTGGCGACTTGGCCCTTAAATCTTATCCGCTCTAACATTGGGCATAATTAGTGTGTTTCCCAATCTAATACTGTGTTGAGAACCTTGGGTACCATCTTACACATTCTTATCAACCAGGATGTCTATCACTTCTGAGCTGCCATTAGCCATTTGGGCCACGCCAGGCGCCTGACCTGCGCCTGTGCCTGCAGCTCTGCAAGACTCGCTGCATTATGCGCCTTGGACACCGCGGCAATTTTCATGTGGCCTCTGTACAGTTTCAGTGGTACAATTTCTTACAGGAATTCCATGGAACCTCACGGTCCCTAGGTGTTCAACCATCGAGACTTTTCTGGGCGACGTTCTGCTGCGATAGCGGCAAGCGCTGATTGAAGTGAACTTTAAAAACCAGCAACCCCGAAGACTGGGCCCGGCACATCCAATGCTGCTTGGGCATCAATTGCCGCCTGAGTGAAGAATGGAAGGCTGGTGTCATCTGCCCATAAATACCATTACCAGAATCGGGCCAGTTGGGACCTAGCACCAGTCCTTATATTGTCCACCATGAATGGAATCCACCATAAATTGGAAAAAGATCTCACTCACTCACGGAGGGAATGGGGGGAACTGTGCCATCTCAATTCCACAGCTGCCAGGCCTCTATCTGTGATGCAAAAAAACAAGCATCCTCAACAACAAATTTCTTACCAGTTGCAAGTCGAACCTGGGGTAATGTCAATCCCGGATTAATAAACCCGAGTTGACTAAATAGGTAGTAGCCCGGCGAAATAGTGATCATCTGCGATTAAATTCAACATCCGAGGGGTTTATGAATCCAAGGTTGACATTACTTGGTGGTTCACCCCAGTTAGTAAGTGGATTAGTTCACCCGAGTTACAAGCGGACAAAGCCTACTTGTCATGATGAAAAAGCTGGGGTGAACTAAGCCACTTACGATTCCTGGAGAGAGCCACCAAGTACTGTTGCAAAGCAACTCCTCTGAAAAAATCCTGTCACTGGCCACTGATGGAAATCCTGGCACCGTTGGCACCGCCTGCGTTTGGGCTTGGGCATTGGCCTGATCCAAACCAGCTGCCGCCTCGGGGAAGTCACCCTTATCAACCGCAAAACATAAATGACAGTTTCACCCATTGTCTTGCAGCTGCAAAGCCTTACCTCTCACTGTCTAACCTGCTACAGCAGCATGAATCTGACTCGGCTGTGGCCAAGTTGCCAGGTGAAGTCCTCCTGGGAGCTGAAGGCCACCCAAATTCCCTAAACCTGCAGCTTGTTGCGCTGCCTGTGCTGCTTGTGCAGCCTGCTGGGCCTGGGATGGTGGTGGTAGAGCCACTGCTTGCGCTGCTTGCGCTGCTTGCGCTGCTTGCTGGGCTGCAGCTTGTTGTGCAGCTTGCTGCGCAGCCTGCTGCGCAGCCGCTTGCTGCGCTGCCTGCTGGGCTTGTTGGGCAGTTGTTTGCTGAGCTTGAGCTTGCGCTTGCTGAGCAGCCTGCTGTGCACGCACCTTAGCTGCACGGTCTGCACTCGTGCTGTCAGTAGGGGAAACGCTGCAAGCAAATACTCAAATACAGCTTTCTGCATTGCTGCTGGAAAGTCTTTACTCCCTGTTTGACCTTTGTTCATGGTCCTTTTTGGGACTATGTTCTTCATTTGTATGTCTTGCAACCTGCAGTGCAAACAGTCACTTTTTATCACTCTTTGCTCAAACAATTGATCAGCTGGAGGTGCGCAACCTGCACAAAGGTAGAGATCCGGCACTGTGCTGGGACTCTCATTGTATTTTTCAATGCTTTTTCCAGCACACCATGCTGGAAAAAAGAACGCTCATGAAGGGCCTCCTCTTTATCACATCATCTGCTGAAACCACCTCCGTCCAGCGCCTGCCAAGGCGACGTTTGCTGGGTTTGTCGCCTTTCAATACTCCTTCTTGACATCCAGGTCCAAAGTATAGTGTTCAGCCCCCAAGAAGAGGCTTGTCGGAAATCATACAGGAGAATATTGTTACTTTGAAATCAGTGAAACCAAGATATTTGGGGCGTCAATCCCCACTGATCAGCCAATCAAACATCCCAAGCAGAGCTTCACCGACCTCAGCCGCTCCACGGGGTCCACGGTCAGCTGAACCCAGGCAGCTCCACCCTTTGAGGCGCAGCGGCGCTTCAACTCGGGTTCCAAGTTCCTGCAGGCAACGGGGCACGGATCCACCGATTTTTTTGTGATTTTTATGAAATAGAGTATGTGATTAAATAGATCATGGAAATTCATGAAACCCAATGGAACCCATGTTTGAATGGGTTTGAATACCTTTCCCAAAATGGAGATCACCAACTTTAAGCCACGTGAAATGGAAATGGTCTGAAAGAAAATGTGGCATGCCCGCAGAACTGCCATTTTGATTCGTGCAGAACATGACGATGAACAATGGATTTGGGGTATAATATGCCAGTATGCCCCCCATTTTTGGAGATCCAAATTGGGGATCTAAAGTCATCATTGAAGTGGGAAGGTGAAAAGCCATATCATGTCGAGCTCGAAAGAGGTGATGAGCACCTTTAGAACTGAGGCGCAATAACAACAGACGTATGGGATCATATGGGCATATGGGGTTGAATCGGAAGTCGGCAACCCACTGAGGTGCAGAGCTCCTCAACAAGCTAAACAGGTTGATGGGTCCCTGCTCTGGAAGCCAATCCAAGAAAGCGGCCCAATCTTTGTGCTCTTGCACCTCCAGGAGAAGTATGCGGGCAACCATTTGTGCTGAGCATTGCCCCGGTGACATGTCATCTATCTCAGTATCTTCACATCTGGACCTCCCATGTCAGGCTGCCAGACTGGACCAGCTTGCAGAAGGAATTCAAAGGCTCCCGCAGCAGGCCTCACAATCACTTCCCATCCTCCCAAAGCCAAGCTCAGCGGCTCAGCCAATTGGCTCAGGCAATTGCAGTTTGAACGGCCTCGGGGTCCAAGGCCTACCGCATGAAGTGTGATCCTGACAGCGCTGAAGTTGAAAGTCACATGCGCAGCCTTCGCATATAGTTCAGAAGCTTCCTAGTATCTATAATGTGGTAAACCCAAATAATAAACCATCCCCAAAATCACCGTAAATGGGTGTTATCAACGATCCCCAAAGGGGATGTTTATTATTTGGGTTTACCACATTAGTTCAAATTCACAACAGCTGACTTTTGGTGTCCTCTCATGGAAGGGGCTCATTGCCGAGGAAATCGCAATTTTCACCAAATCCTGGCTGAACAGAATGGCTGTCATGTTGAGACGCGAAGAACGACAACAGTTTGGGGTTGTTTCTATGGCCAAATAGCTGGCTCATGGATGTTCATTCCCACATGGGAAAATCATGGGCATTGACCCATCCCAATATCCCTATCATCAAAACTATTTCTTTAAAAGAATTGGAGACCGTTCAAAAGGCTGAAAATCGTTGTTTGTGGTTGGCCCATCACTAGTTGCCCGCTATTGACTCATTTTCTTGTTGTGGGTCCTCTGGCAGAACGCTGCCACAGAAAGTCAACAGGACGTGCTTGTGGCCGGGCGCCAGTGCAACGTGCTCGCTGGCGTCCCTGGTGGAGCATTTCACATATCTATATATATATATTAAATTACTATAATCTACAACAAATGTATGTAACAAGTGTGCAATATATATTTATTATATATAAATATATTTATATAATTATATATATTGCCTACATGGGACCTGAACCTCAACCTGGTATTTCGGCTATGGACAACATGTTCCAAAAGCGTCAAAGTGCACCTGAATGCCCAGAGCAAATGCAGAAACTGCTGCATCTCCAGGTCAACTGCATCTGAAGGATTGGGCAAGAGCTGTGCCAAAGCTTTCACGTCAGGACCTGAGCTACCACATCCCCTTGATGCCTTGTCACTGCCAGTGACCAATGAGGTATTGTGTAAACATACTGGTGCTCCGCTCCCTCCATGACACTAGCAGGTCGTGAGAATCATTCCGTTGAGATTTCGTTGGACCGAGGATCTCCACAGTTCAGCGGTGTGTTCCAGCCTGTCGATGTTTTTGTTTCAGTTGTCATCAACAGTTCTTGTAGCTATCGATCAGTCCGCAAGCTGGAGCAGCCCGCCTTGGGTCGACAACTTCAGTGTTGCAGGCACCTTGGCGCAATGGCTCCGCTGATGTCTGCTCCTGCTGCTTGTATCGCCTCTTAAAACACAAAAAAGTTGCAACACTAGCCTTGTCGTACACGAGGTGTGAGGTAAGTCTCTCTTGAAAGAATGTTCTTGAAAAAGAGGTGGGGCAAGTCCGTCCGTTACTACGTAAGACGTAAGCGGAACCAGAGGAAAAGTAATTGCCTCTCCACAAAAGAAATAGTCATCTTGGACATGATTCGAACCCCCAATCAGGTGAACATCCCTTCATCTCTCCAATTTGGGGCGCAATCCTCCAGCCATTTGCCGAGCTACTCAACATGAACGGTTCAGCTGCCACTGCCATGCCGTGGCGGCCCATGGAGCTATCGCCCCCAAAGTCCCCAGGTGGAGCCCTGGTCAGGCTTTACCATCCAGGCTGAGGCTTCAGAAGCCTTACTTTTTCCCGCATGAAGAACTCACCATCACTTAACCTTTCCCTCTTCTAACTCCCAGTTGCTCAAATCAACTTTGCCGGGCCTGTCCTGCCACAGCTGCGATGGCGAGGGTCCCACGCTGCGCAAGGCTCGCAATCGTGGCAAGGTAGCTAAAGGACCTAAAGGCATTGCGCACAGCAAATCTTCTGGAAATCCTTGGCACCCCATCACATCATCCAAAACTTTCAGACCCAAGGGATGACTGACTCGATACCGCGGGCTTGGGAAGTCTAGCGAATTACCACCCTTTTCAGCCAGCAATTTTGTAGAAAGCCATGGCCATTGAGATATTAAATGTGAAATGTGCACTGGGCCAGGCAAGCGTGCAAACTCTACAACCAAGTGCCAAGTGTACTAGTCGCTAGTGGACAGCGATATAATTCTCAAGTTTCAACTATGTTTCCAGTTGGACACAGAAGAAACTAACTCCAGAACTGATAAAAACTCCATGCGTTCCAACCTCTCCCTGGCCATTTCCATGGCACCTGCAGTAGCAGCCTCCAACATCCCTAAGGCTTCACTCCCTGAAGGTGCCGCCACTGCCACCACATGTCCTGCTAGCAGCAGCGCCGTAGCGTGTGCCACAGCAACGGCGTGGCTCTGGTGAGCTGTACTTAGCGCAGCGTGGGACCGTGGGAGGCCATCCCTGATATCTACTTGGAGCTGGAGGATTGCCGAACCCTACCCTGGGGGCACATTTTTTTTGCAAACAGCACAGGTTGCAGGCTGAGTCACCAGGCCACCAGCGAAGGTGCAGGGGGATGTGCCAACTGCCGCGCACACAGCACGTCTTGGGGACCCATGAGCAAGGCCTCATAGAAGGCGCACAGTGTTTGGCCGCAGAGCTCTGGAGCACATCCAATAGCACCTGGCAGCACTGGGGCAGTGGTCCTTCCATTCCAAAGAACATGCTTTTTGGTCTGGAAAAGAAGGTTAACTATCTTGTCATCTATTGAATTTATTGAAACAAATAAAAGTAAAAATCTGAGCTGTAGAAGTCTCCAGTGACTAGTCCGCAATCATTTAATCCAAAATGTCAATGGTCTACACTGGTCAAAGGGACAGGTTTCAACCCGAGGCATCCTCCCAGTTCAATCCATCGCTTCTCAATTGCTGGCTTTTTGTACAGTAGTATATTGTACATATACATACACGTAGATAGATCAAATCTATAACTTTGATTGATTTCATCTAGTTGTCACCTAAACCGAGATCCAATGTATATACAGATTTGGGTCTGTCTGAAAATAGAGTTGCCCCCAGATCCCGTGGTTTAATATCACTGTCATTCAGATTGCCATTTTGGGGTATGGCACTTTCAGACACACCAAAATCACATTATTGTTAGTGTTCAATCTCCGTACATCCCATTGTATCCCATTACCCATTTGGCTACGGTTCCAAAGACCCCAAAAAAAATGATATAACCTTCATCAATCACCTTCATTAAACTCCCATTAAAGCGCGATCTTCATCCCACTTCTAGACCAACTCAACTTACAAATTCACCACTCAATTTGCCACCAGATATGGACAAATATGGATATGTTATAAGTTATATTTATAATCAGTTGTGATCCATCCCCCCACCATCACCCACGGGCCACCTGCCGCCTGCGCCACAAAGGCCTCTGCCAGAGCCAGGCGCTCAGCGGGCTCCAGCGGATGCGCGGGCCACGACGCCACGCGTTCCGCTTGGCCTTGTAGCTGAGACCAGTCCTGGCCAAGCTGGCATGGAGATTGATATGTACATGGATATATCAGGATCTATAAATACATATGACATATGCATATGCACACATGTGTATGTCTATATATATATATACATAACATAGGTATACATATATATGTAAATGCCATATATAATTACATAATATATATATATAATGCAATCCTCTATACATTATATACATCCCCCATCGAATTTCAGGGGAGACGTTGTGACCCTAACTCTGTATGTTACAAAAATTATTCACAAGCTTGGGGCTATAGAATGAGGTTGCTGAGCTCCATTTTTTCCCAAAATGGCCTTCAACAACCTTGACATAGGGGGAATTTTCCCTTGCTACAAAATGCCCCTTCGCTTTCAACAACTGCACATATAAGGACATACCCTTTGCTACAAAATGCTTAGATTCTGATATGATAAGCTCTGATGAAGCTCATCATGTCATGCTACAAAATGCCACTGCAATTTTCATGATGGGCTAACATGATTAAATTGATTCCGTTATAAAATGAGATTCACAAGTTTAAGCTACAAAATCTTGGCCCTGGATTTCATGTCACAGTTAGCCTGACTAAAATGGAAGCCTCTGTAAGAGGCACAAGGCCACAAACTTTGTAGATTAAAATCGCAGGGAGATTTATATACATAAATGTTTGCTAAGATGTGTGTTTTATGTAATTATATGATTATCCTGCACCTCGTGAAATCTGGTTTTCACATGGTTTCGTCAAAGAGCCTTGAGGTCTGCACTCGACCACTCAGCCAGAGGCACAGATGCCTTCCGAGATTCGTTGCACGCGTCGAGCAAGAGCCTTCGTGGGTGAGTCAGCCCGAAAAATGTTCAGTGCGGGTCATCCCAGGATCTCTCGGGTATGGATGGAAATGTGAAATCTAGAAATCTGGATGTAAATTATATATGGTATACATATGGCAACTCCCTAGAACCCCCCAGTGCTAGGTTCATCTACACATTACAGTAATGTATGTCTATATATTTATGTATTAAATACAGAGACAGACAGACAGACAGACAGAGAGAGAGAGAGAAATAGATGTAATATATTGGAAACCACCAACCAGAAGAGTGTCACGGCCTCTTTGGGACCTTCAATAGCAAGGGAAGCATCTTGGGTAATGTCATTTGTGGCCAACAATATTTCTTTTGTTTTCGTATGTTCGAGAAAAAATGTCCAAGATACTTGGGGCAGGGTCAAAATTGCCTCGAAATTGATTGGATGGTGAAATACACCGAATATCTGGAGGGCGGCACCCCGTGGGGGAGTGAATTTTCATTAAAAATGATGAAAAAACACTGTAAATACCGATGTTCTATGCATTTGGAGGGTCTAAAACCCTAGTAAAACACACTTTTTTCATCATGATCTTGACATGAGATATACAAAAACATTGACAGGCACCAAAAAAAACAAAAAACAAACCACTAGATGCACCAAACATCGACAGGCACCAAAAAAAAAAAAATCCAGCAACTACTCAGAAGTGGACCCATAGTTCCTGGAATTTTTAGTTTTTTTGTTTTTTTTGGTAGTGGTTTGGTTTTTTTGTTTTTTTTGGTGCCTGTGCAGGTTTGGTACATCTATTGGTTTGTTTGTTTTTTTGATGCCTGTGCAGGTTTTGGTGATTCTAGATTGTGTATGTTTGGATCTTGGCCATATTTTAAACTTATGTTTCAAAGAAGCAAACATACCGTCATCTTTGAATAGCTGTGCCACCTCACAGGTTGCCTGACCTTAATATTCAACAGCTTGACACACGTCTTTGTCTCTTTGGCTTTCTCTCTCTCTCTCTCTCTGTCTAACTATTGAAATGAGACTGCTGACAAGACTCTGCAAGATAACAATGATAAACGAGATATGTACCTACTTCTTGGGTTGTAACATTCCCACCATCCTTCTTATCCAGAGTGTTAGATGTGCTTGTGTTATATCCACCTATATAATGTATGCCCTTCCCACCATACTTCTTATGTAGCGCAAATGCTTCTATATACAATATATGTTAAGATGATATCAATCTAACAAGTTCATGAACAAACACCTCTATCATATCAATTGCTTTTAGCAATAGAATTTCTCCATCACCTCCATCACACTAGTCACCTATTGCTACTGTATATTCTGTTCCAAGATGTGCAGCTACCCATTCTTATGGCATGTTGTGCAGCAGATGTTTTCTGTTATGTGCTGATTGTTTGTAGTTCTTTGCAAGCCTCACAGGAAAAATTGAATCCTGCCACAAGAGTCGAATCCTGCCACAAGAGTCTGTAAATGCCAGTGATTTATGACAGCATATGAGAGCCTCTGGAGGTGAACTCTAGTTTTTGCTCTAAAATAACGGTTTTAAGCCCACTTTGGTCACAAAACACTGTAAATACCAGTATTTTTTGACCATTTTTAGAGCAAAAATCACTCCCCCATGAGGGGCCGTTCTGAAAAAAAAACACCAATATACCGGCCGGCTTCTCCTGGTTTTGAATTCTGATCCATGCCCACATATCCCTTTCTTAATGGTCGAACACCCCATTGATATCCATTGATGGATCACTCCCCCTCGATTTATTTGATGACACTCAGATCTGTTCCCATCTTTATGATTGATTTAAGGAACATCTTGCACCGGGATCCTGTACTAAATTAGTAGGTTCCTTTGTGTTTTTCCATCATCCATCTTTCTTGCCTCTGCAATGATGAAGTTGCCAGGTGACGGCACGCCCCAGTCCCAGGCCATAGGGGCAACCGGGGCACTCGTGGACCCCGGGGACCCCGGGGCAGCCGGGCGAGCATTTAACGCAACGGTGGCTACCCCCGGAAATCCACACTGGCAATGATAAATCCCCTGCTGACATTAATTTGAAGAGATGATTCTCCCAGAAAAAAATGCTTTTGTTCTTTTGATTGTCAAGTTTGATGACGAGAGTGGCTGTGGGTATCTACATCCATCAAATTTTGGATTTGGAATTTTGGAACCAAGAGTCGCAAGATGTTATGTGCTACAATCAGCTTCCTTCTGGGAATTAATTCCAAACAATGGTGAAGTCACTAAAATCAGACTTTTGGAGTACGCAGTTGAGTCCCTTGCTTGCTCGTGCATCGTCGTGTTGCAAGCAAAGACAGGCCTAATCCTAATCCGTACATAGCCTGTAGTTTTGACTAAAAATCTTGAGGTTGAAGCTCTTTGTCTGCCATTGGCTCAGTTGTCATCAGAGAAAAAGAAGCTGCGGGTGGCTGAAATGAGTCCGTCCATATGAGCTGTGGTCCATGGACCGACACGTCAATCCCATCACATTGACCATGGCTACGGACTGGCCATTCCCACTGGCATTGATAGTATGTCCACAGGCCAATTGTCTCAACAGTCTTCGGCCTTATCCTTTGCAATTCTTCGAAATAAGCGAGGACATGCTTCGCTGAGGTGCCAGACTTGTGCTTGAGCCTCCAGTGCTGCCTGTTGCGCTTTCTGCTGTTCTTGCTCGTTCTGAGCCTGCCATTCGCAGTCAACTCACGTTAGCCACGAAAACTCCGGTGAAGGTCTTGCAAGGTCATTTCATCCCATCCTCCTAATCTTAGATACCCCCAGGAAGTCAGGTTTAGTATCGGATCTATTCATTTTGGGCACGTGGGTGGTATCCGACCTTCGCCTGCGCATTTTGGATGGCAGCCTGAGCAGCCTCAGGATTTGAGGTTCGGTGCAAGTTCCGGGGCTGTTGGTGGTCCATCTGTTGTACCCCTTGGCATCAAACATGGCAGTGGAACTTTACGCATTTGAATTTCCCCTGGATGTTGTTTTATCTTTAACTAGATGATGTTCCTGCTGCAATTGGGGATTTGCGGTTGCTAGATTAGATTACCAGAAGGCAATCGTAGCGAATTATCTTTCTTGTATTCATGACCGTATTTCATGTTGCAAACAACCCACCAGAGGTTCTGCACGCAGCACGTCTCAGCATCGCGATCACATGCCAGGCAGCAGCAGCAGCGTGTGCAGCAGCATTCAGGTGTTGTCCAGGTGGGGCCTCATTGGCATCTGCCACTGGGGCGAGAAACAGGGCACTCTCCAAGTCCACAACACACATTTCAGCCTCACGCCATAACGATTTGGCATCTACAAGTAGGTACATAGTATTCATATGTATATATATATATATGTACATATACGTATATATCAAAGGACACTTTGATTGCAAAACATTGTGAATACAATTTGTAAATCAAAATGCCTGTCTTGCAAATATAAATAAATAAATAATTACATAAATAATTACATTAGTACATATACATATGTATTGATATGAGCCTGCAAGCGTTAACACTAGGCCCGTTTGCGTGGCATTCGCCTGGCAAAAGTGCCTGGCAAGTGCCTGTGTCAAATCCTTGGCCTGTTTCCTTCCTAAAATGAGTATGTGTGTCTCATGAATTAGAATCTTGGCTATGTATAATGTGTACGCATATACCTGTCTCCCTTTTAACCTTTACATATCATACGCAAACCCCATGCATACCATATTATGCATATCAGATCATATGTTTTACCAGGAAATCAGTTTTGGCAGATCTGAAGCAACAGAAACCACCCCACCAAAAACGTTCACCGAAAAATCGGACCTGGGGCGCAGGTGCTGGTGGAGCGCCGGGCTGATTTGGGTCAAAGCCACCTGGCTCATAAGGTTTGCTGGTAAGATTTTCATTAGCCAGTAATCTGGAGTTCCCCATGGACCCAGAATAAGCCACAAAACTGTGGATCTTCAACCAAAACTGTAGTTCAAGCACCAGAGAATGGGGATTCCAAGAACAAGTGGCAACAGAATCTACCAATGACCACAGTGGCCTGGTGGAAGTAGACCAGCTCCAAGACCTGGGAAAACTGACAGAGGTTTGCGGAAAGCGAATGGTTTGCCCTTCGGAAAATGATGATTTCATTCATGGTGGATGTTCGGAACATCTATGTACATCAATGAAAGGGAAAGATCAAATCCAACCCCTTGTAAACGTGTAGCCGACGGCAATATATATATATATATTCACCTGCATCTTATCTGTCTATAGATCTATCTATCCACCGATTGGGGAATCCAGCCTGGAGGTGGTGGTAGGCCAGGCAATGGCGGTAGCAAACCTGGAAGGCCAAGTCCTGTCAGGGCGAGCCGAAGGCTCTCTGGGATGCTAAGATTATGTTCAATATCTATGGTAAAATAGAAGAGATTCACCATATGGATTCATTGGCGTATATCAAACATGTAATATATGGTTCATATAATATGTAAGTAGCTATATAATCCATGTGTTCATAGAGTATAAAATGATCACCGGAATATGATGATATAGTATTTACATGCGTATATGATAGATATGCTGATTATACATGAGTAGACTAATGGTAATATGCTGATGATCATGTGTCTACAGTATAAATGTGTAGAAGTGCTTTCGCAACATATGTCTATAGTAAGAGCGATGCCAAATACTGCAAATATCTATCATTTAGTTATGAAAACGTGCAAGGCTTCTTGGGTTCCGAATTTCGAAAATGCCCAAGTGACGTCCCTTCTGCTGGGCCCCAATCGGTGGCATCACCTCTCGGTGTCAAATTACTTTTCCCCTCCATTTTGGGACAAAGCCTTTACTTTCCGACTGTATCCCACGAATGATCATTTGAATCATGTATTAATCCTATTAAATATCATCAAATATCATTGTGTAACACTATTTTTTCAACGACATGCCCATCTTCCCATTATCATCAAAAATATCAGTAAAAGTATCAGTAAAAATATCATGAAACCCTGTAATATCCCATGATATTTGCGGGATAACCTATTAAAAACACACCCCACCTTGCTGTGGTTGTCCAGGCGGTGGACCCGGAGGCGCCCCAGGCGCACCCAAGGGAGGAGGGTGCCTGTCGGATACCATCCATGACGTATAATATACATTGTAACATAATTAAACGTATACAAACCAATATGATGTGTATATATATATAACATATGCTTGTGCATATACAACTATACACATATATATATATAGATACTATGCAAAGACATGCATACAGTTATTGTTGAAGCAGCAAAATCTGGGATTGCAATCACTTGTGACCCTTGCGATATTTGCTGGGCTCTGAGATCAGGACCCCAAAGCAGCTAGACCAGCGGGGTTTTGTTGCCTGTGGGCCGACTTGTTTATGGGGACACCCCAAAATGGCCATTCAAACAGGGAGGATAATGGTAGACCGCTGATCTCAGGAAAATCACGAGTTGAAAATTGGGTGCCCTGAACCCACAAATGGCTGCTCATTCTAGTGGAGAATCATCAATTTTTGGTGGCTGATCATGTTGAAAGATTTCCCGTATGTCATCAAAAAAGGCAACATCAAACCAATGTGACTGGGTTGCCACATTAGCTTCCTTCGTGTGGACTCTACAACAGAGGCTACAAGATTGGATCCCAACAAGTCATGCTAAGTGATGCTGTGCAGCAAAGTGCTTGGATTATTCCAGAGGTAGGCTAGAACTAGAAGGTTCGCGACTAGAGAAAAGCTCCGGTATATTTCCATGACATGACTTGCAATGGTTGACAATAGTAGGGTATACCCAACGATATATATATATATAGATATATATATATATTATTGTATTGTATTGTATTGTATTATATGTTGTATTGTATTGTACTGTACTGTATTGTATTGTATTGTATTGTATAATATAATATTATATTATATTATATTATATTATATATATTATATTATATTATATTATAATATATTATATTATACTATATTATATTATATTATATTATATATTATAGTATGTTATATTATATTATATATTATATTAAATTATATATTATATTATATTATATTACATATATAATATAATATAATATAATATAATACAATACAATACAATATAATGTAATAATATAAATAGTAAATATAATATATAATATATAGTATATAATATATAATATATAATATATAATATATAATATAAAATATATAATATATAATATATATTGTACAATATATAATACATAATATATAATATATATTATATATTATATAATATATAATATATAATATGTCATATGTAGTATGTAATATATACTATATAATATATAATATGTCATATGTAGTATGTAATATATACTATATATTACTATAATATATAATATCTATATATAATAATATATATTCTATATAATATGTGATATATAATATATAATATGTAATATACAATATAAAATATATAATATATAATATATATTATATAATATATAATATGTAATATATAATACATAATAGATAATATATGATATAATATATATATATATTATATATATAGTATATAATATATAGTATATAGTATATAATATATGATATATAATATATAATATATACTATATATATATGATATATAGCATAAAATATATAATATATAATATATTATATGCTATATATCATATATTATATATTATTTTATAGATATATATATATATGATAGTGCATTGTATATATAATATATGATATATATAATGTATTCTATAAGATATATATATTATATCATAATATATACAATATATATATAGTATGTAATATAATACATCATATATATAATACATATATATTATATATTATATATTATATATATATATCATCATGCAGTGTGTATATATTGTAGTATATATATACTATATATAGATCTAGATGTATATACATATGTGTGTTTCTACTACGAGTTCTAGATAAGGGAATTGATACCCACTTCCCAGTTTTCATCACGGCCCAGGAGCAACA